GGCCTCCCTGTCCCCAGGCCCCCCGTCACCCTCAGCCCGTTGCCCTGGGACCCCCCAATCCACATCCCACCCGGGACTCTCCACCCCCCCATATCCCTGCACCCCATCTCCCCCAGAACACAGGACCCGGGGAGCCCCCCCCCCCCAACACTTAATCTCTCACCTCCCCCCAGGTCCCAGCCGTCGATTCAAGCGGGTCGTGGAGACGATCCAGGCTCAGCTGCTCAGTTCCCATGACCAGCCCTCGGTGCAGGCCCTCGCCGGTGGGTCAGGCCCCGGGGCCTCTCCCCTCCCGGGGGCATCGGCAGGGCTGGGGGGGCGGTGGTTGGCTAGCAGGGGCTGCAGGTCGGGAGTGAGGGGCACCGGCAGGGCTGGGGGGGGCCCAGGGCCGAGCTAGCAGGCGGCTGCGGGTCGGGAGTGAGGGGCTCCGGCAGGGTTGGCAGGGGGCCCAGGGCCGGGCTAGCAGGGGGCTGCGGGTCGGGAGTGAGGGGCACCGGCAGGGCTGGGGGGGGCCCAGGGCCGAGCTAGCAGGGGGCTGCGGGTCGGGAGTGAGGGGCACCAGCAGGGCTGGGGGGGCCCAGGGCCGGGCTAGCAGGGGGCTGCGGGTCGGGAGTGAGGGGCACTGGCAGGGCTGCGGGGGGGCCCAGGGCCGAGCTAGCAGGGGGCTGCGGGTCGGGAGTGAGGGGCACCGGCAGGGCTGGGGGGGGCCCAGGGCCGGGCTAGCAGGGGGCTGCGGGTCGGGAGTGAGGGGCACTGGCAGGGCTGCGGGGGGGCCCAGGGCCGAGCTAGCAGGGGGCTGCGGGTCGGGAGTGAGGGGCACCCCTTTCCTAATCCGTGTCTCTCCGCCCCCCCTCGCCCCCCAGATGAGAAGAACGGGCAGCAGCCCCGCCCGCCGGGCACCCCCACCCGCGTGGCCCAGAATTCCCGGCGCTCCGACCCCGACGTCTCGGAGCAGCCTCGCCGCGGCTCCTGCAAGGAAAAGAAACTCGTGTCGTCCAACGGGACGCAGGCCCCCCAGCCCCCGCAGCAGCCTTGACCCCCCGGGGGGCACGGGGAGCACAGCCCCCCACTCTGGCCTCGGCCTCCGCGACCCCCTGCAGCCGGTGGGGGGGAAGGAAGGAGAGGAAAAAAGACACGGACAGGACCTCGCCCCTGACGGGGCTTGGGGCGGGCTGGGGGGGGGTAGCACGGGAATTGACCCCCCCACACACACAATGGCTGAGCAGGTGCCATGGTCCAAGCAGACCATACTGTGAACCTGTAAATATTTAACACAAAAAAGACCCTCCCAACCGCCCCCGACACAGAAGACCGAAAAGGAACCTGCAAATGACGACAAACCCCACAAAAAATCCACAGAGGAAAAAAAAAAAACCTGAACTGAGCAGATGGGCGATGGAGCCGGGGCGGGGGGGGTCCGGGGGGGGGGGCGGCTGGCTGGCTGGCCAGGGCGGGCGGGGGAGAAACGAGATTTTAATTTAATGTATTGACGGGAGGAGGGAGTGGATTGGTGGATTTCGTTACCCACTCCTCCGCTTCCCCCCCCTTCCTTCGTTCCCACGACCCGCTCCCGGGTTCGATGCACCCCAGACCTTGGCTGGCTTCTTCCCAAACTGCTTTCGGGGGGGGGGGCCCACCCCGACCCCCTGCTGTGGTGACGCGAGGCGGGAGGCTTGGTTCCCTGTGCGCGTGTGGACGCCCTGATGCCGGATCAAAGCCCCGTCCTGCCGGTCCCGCATGGGGGGCGGGGGGGGGGAGCATTTCTTCTCCCTCCCGGTGAAACTCTGCCCCAGCTCCGGAGCCAGGCAGGGAGGGGACCGGCGCTTCCCCCGCGGGGTCGCCGGGGCTCCCTCCCCGCCGGCTCCCATCGGTTTCCGCGGTGGATCCGTGGAAAGAAGGGAACCGACGTCGCTGGGGGCCTGCTGGGTCCCCCTCCTGCCTTGCTGGGGCCGACGCCGCCCGGGGGCGCCGTTTGCACCGTCGCACAAAACGACGTGGGGGGCGGGGGGAGCCGCTGGTTTCCGAATGACGGCGGCTGTTGGGAACCGATAAGCCATTAAACCCCACCGGCCCCGGTAAACGCTCAGAAGGCAGAGGAATAATACTGGGCTTTGGCCGCGTCTTTCTTCCTTCGCCTTGCTGTCAATTCCGACGCGCCTCTTTTGCGGGCGGCTGCAAATCGAAGGCTCCCGAGTTTAATGGTCCCTCTCCGGGGCTGGGCCACGGCAAAGGGGCCTAGGTCTTGGGTGCGCGGGGACCGGGTCGAAATCCTTTTCGTTAAACCGGAGTGAAACCCCCCTCCCTGCTCCTGAGTGTAGACGCGCTTCACCTGGCTTCGTAGCAGCACGGATCCACCTTCAAGGATTTCTGGGCGGGGAAAGCAAAGATCTGCCCCGCCTCCAATGGCATTTGAGTCACTAGCTGGCCAGAGAGGTGTCGATTTGGGGGAGCGAGCGACTAGCCCAGCGATTCGGGCCAGGTTCAGATCCGCCGGCTGCCGGATTCCTACCCGGGACCAGAGCTCGGGTCGTCCAGCTCCCGGCTGAGCACGTGCCCGGCCCGGGTCTAGTGAATGATTTGTACAAAGGGGAACGGCTCCCCGAGCAGCCAGGGGCCCTGGGCTGAGCTGGGGAAGATCTCAGGGCCAAATCATAGGCCTGGAGTCGTAGGAGGGTAATGCATCACGTCACCGGTCACAAAAGCAGCTCCGCCTAGGCCGGGAACGAGAGTCCTTGCCAAACCCATGTGCCTTGAGTGCGTGTAGACTGGGCTGAATCGGTTTTGTTAAACCGGAGTGAAACCCACTCCCAAGTGTAGACACGCTTCACAGCAGCCATGATGCACCGTCAATGATTTCTTACCCAGTGTGAACGTCAACCCATTTGCCCCACTCACCCTGCACCCCCTTCCGGGAGGCTGAAAGCCGGTTTGGACTGGAGTAGTCGGCCCACGTAACTTTTCCGTGCAGACCAGGCCAAACTCAGACAAAAGCATCCATGCTTAGGGGTTAACCCAGCCTTAGCTGGCTCTGTTAAGGACACCCCGCCACACTCACCCGGCAAGGGAAGCCGCTAAACCAGATTGAAACCTGGTTAAAACCCAGGCTCAAATTGGCACCGAATCAAACGGGTTTAGCCCATGGCAGCACCACTCCCGTTCCGCCCTGGGGCAAGGGCGGGGGAGGGGTGGGTTTCCCCGCTCCCTAGCTTGAGGGGGTAACTGGCCTGGAAAGGCTGGAGGGGCAGCGTCCGCCCACCCCACGGCTTGGGGGGCATCTGCTCTCACCTTCGCCTGCGCAGGGTCCGGCGTGGGTTCTGAGCCCCGGCTACAAAAGGTGATGGAAAATGGAACCAGATTTAAACTAAAGCGATCTGAAGCTACTTAAGAGCATTTACATGGGGGCACGGCCAGAACAAAGCTACCGAGCCATCGGGGTGCAGCTCAAAGGGGAAGATGCCTCCCCACCTCCACTTTTCCCTCTGCCAGCCCCTGCTGCCCTCCGCACTGATTCCCAACATGGACCAAACCGGACCCGATGTCCCAGACTGCTCCCGGCACCCCGGATTCCCTTTCAGCCTGGGATCGATCATGAGACACGGCCCCTCTGGGGTGGGGCGCAGGGGCCGTTCAGGACAGGAAGTGAAGGACAACCCACCTTGGCTTGCATCAGCTTCTGGGAACTGCTTCTCCAGTGGGCCAAAACCCCAGGGCTGGACTAGCAGGGGGCTGCGGGTGGGGAGCGAGGGGCACCGGCAGGGCCCGGGGCTGCGGGTGGGGAGCAAGGGGCACCGGCAGGGCCCGGGGCTGCGGGTGGGGAGCAAGGGGCACCTGTGGGTTCGCTGGGTCTCCCAGCTCCAAAGGAATCCTGCAGCCCCCTCGGGCCGAGTCAGGCGTCTCCCCCCCACATCGGTGCCCCCCCCCCGCGCGACCCTGGTGGGAGCTGGGCTGCATGCTGCCTGTGAGCGCTGCCCCCCCCCCGCTCCTCTTGGGGTCAGTAATGCTCAAAAAAAACCAAAAATACAAACAGAAAAAACTGACCAAGAACCCCCCCCCCCGGGGGGGCCTCGCACCATTTGTCCTCCCACCCCCACCCCACCTGGAATCAGACATCTCATTCCCAGCCCCTCCCTCCAGGCCCCCTCCCCCACCACTGCCCCTGAGGTCCCCCAGCCCCCAACTCTCTATTTGCTGCCCCCCCCCGAATTTCCCTCCACCCCTTCCCACCCCTCCCAGCCTCCCCCCGCCACCCCAAGGGGCTACAGGGGTTTGTTCCTCCTTCCCCCCCCCCCGGCACCACTCACTTTCAACCCCACTCGGCCCCCCACATCCCCAGTCCAGCCCCCCCCCCCCCCCCCCAGCCCTCAAACTCCACCCATCAGTGCCAGCAAAGCCAGGTACCCCCAGCCGGGTGCAAACCCAGATGTGAGGAATCTGGGGAGTCAGTGGGGTCGGGGGGAATGGAGCCCGGGGCCTTTCCCCTCTAGGGGGCGCCAGCTCCCCCCGGCCTCAGGGGTGCTCTGGGTTGATGAACCAGACAGTGATTGTGGGGCGCTCACGGGGTGCAGCCCGAGCTGCTGGTCTGTATCTCCCCCTCCCCCCCAAAAAAACCATTTGGAGATGAGAGGATTGTAACCCCCGCCCACCGGCCTTTTCTCATCAGCCCCCTGCTGATCATAGAACCCAGGAGTCCTGGCTCGGAACCCCCCAACCACAAGACCCCCCTCCCCTCCCAGCGCCCGGGGAAGAACCCAGGTGTCCTGGCTCTGGCTAGCTTCCCACCCCCCTCTCTGAGCAATGCCCTGCTCCCACCCCGGGCGGAGTGGGGTATGGGGGGCAATTTCTGCTCCTTCCCCCACCCCAAGCTCTCGCTGCTGGGGGGGCAGGGCCAGGCCCCTCCCGCATCCAAATATGACAGAGGCACCAGAGCTGAGAAATCCCACATTTATTACAGCCCGGTGTGGTTGGGGGGTGGGGGGGGATGAGACCCCTTCTGTCCTGGGGGAGGGGGGGAAATAAGGGGGTCTGCGAACATTTTTCCCCCCCCACACACACACACCCACCAGAACCATGGTTCCCCCAGTCTCGCTCCCAGCCGCCAGCCAGCCCCCAGCGCTGCAAGCTTCCCCCACCAGCAGTGCCCGCAGCGGGGGGGGGGGGAGAAGAGCTGAGGGTGGCCATCCAAGGGTCCCTGCCCCACAGCCGTGGGGGGCACAGTCCGGGTGGGGCCGGGGCTAGAGCGCCAGGGTCTGGGTGGAGGTGGCGCCCAGCTCCAGGGCAGGGGGGGGCGCCCGGTGCTGCAGCCCCACGGAGCAGGACTCGATGTGCCGGAAATCCACGGCGAAGAGGCCGAAGAGGAGGAAGAGGATCAGGGCCAAGGTCCATTCGCAGGCCGCGGCTTCCGACCTCAGCCCCAGCCCGTGCAGAGCGAACACGGAGCCCGAGTCAAGGGGCCATGGCTGGGGGGTGCCCCCCACGCCCGACCCACAGACCCAGTCTCCCCGGCCCTGCCCGTGCCCCTCATGCCCGACCCACAGCCCTGGCCACCTCGGCCCTGAGCTCCCCCCAGCTCTGCCGGTGCCCCTCACATCCGACCCACAGCCCTGGCCACCCCGGCCCTGAGCTCCCCCCAGCTCTGCCGGTGCCCCCCACGCCCGACCCACAGCCCCGGCCACTCCGGCCCTGAGCTCCCCCCAGCTCTGCCGGTGCCCCTCACGCCCGACCCACAGCCCCGGGCACCCCAGCCCTGCCCGTGCCCCTCACGCCCAACCCACAGCCCCGGGCACCCCAGCCCTGCCCATGCCCCTCATGCCTGACCCACAACCCAGGCCCTGGGCTCCCCGCAGCCCTGCCGGTGCCCCTCACACCCGACCCACAGCCCTGGGCTCCCCGCAGCCCTGCCGGTGCCCCTCCACACCAAGGATACTGGCCACAAGCAGGGCCGTGCTGCCCGCACTGAGACAGAACCGGGTTGGTCCGATCCAACGCCCGCCAGGATGCGGCTTCACCCGTTTGGTCAGCGCGGCCTGGACCCAGAAATAAACGACACCCACGACGAAGGCCAGAAACGCCCCAAACAAGTGAGTCTCCAGCTGGTTACTTTGCTGCCAGGGCAGGAAGGGAGCAAGTGGGATTGCGCCCCCCCCCAGCGCCCTCACCCCCACCCCCAGCTTTCCCCACCCCTACCCCGCTGGGCTCCCCTCCCTCTGACCAGCGCCCCCTGCTGGGCTCCCCTGGTTCCCCCACGCAGCACCCACAGCTGAGCCTCCCTCCCCCCCCCCACCAGTGCCCCCCAGCACCGTACCTGGAAGTTGCCCACGACAGAGGCCCCTAGGGCACAGAGCAGCCCCAGGCAGAGGCCGGCCGTGTTCAGGGCGCAGGGACACCCCCAGTCCCGCACCTGCTGGAACCGCAAGTAGCTGATCAGGATGACTGGGAAGGGAGACAGCCCAGGTCAGAGGGGCCGGTGCCCCCCAGAGGGGAAAGGCCCCGGGCCCCATTCCCCGCCCCCCTGAGCCAGCCAGTCCCTGCCCTGGGGCCAGACGGGAGCTGGTGCCCCTCAGAGGGGAAAGACCCCATGACCCATTCCCCGTCCCCCTGAGCCAGCCAGTCCCTGCCCTGGGGCCAAGAGAGTTGCCCCCAGAGGGGAAAGACCCCATGACCCATTCCCCGTCCCCCTGAGCCAGCCAGTCCTTGCCCTGGGCCCAGACGGGAGCTGGTGCCCCCCAGAGGGGAAAAGACCCCATGACCCATTCCCCATCCCCCTGAGCCAGCCAGTCCCTGCCCTGGGGCCAGACGGGAGCTGGTGCCCCCCAGAGGGGAAAGACCCCATGACCCATTCCCCGCCCCCCTGAGCCAGCCAGTCCCTGCCCTGGGGCCAGACGGGAGCCGGCGCCCCCCAGAGGTGGCTGGTTGCAGGGTCACTTACCCAGGAATGCCCCCATGTTCAGCACTTGACCGAAGATGCAGCTCTGGGGAGGGTCGGATCCGCAGGTGCTGGGAAAGAGGAGAGAGACCAGTGTTTTCCTGGGGAACTGAAATGGGCGGGGGGGGGGGGGCAGGAGAGGGCCGACGAGGGGCGAGACCGTGAGGGCGAAGGTGGGCTGGATGGCACCATAGTAAAAACCAAGACGGGCAGGGATGCAACCCCACACGCTGAGCGTCCCCCGCCTCTGGTCGCCAGGCGCTGGACGGCAGGGGATGGATCACCCCACGAGTCCCTGTCCTGGTCGTTCCCTCTGGGCCACCCTGCACTGGCCACTGTCGGCCGACAGGACACTGGGCCAGAGGGACCATTGGCCTGACCCAGTCTGGCCATTTTGACCGGAAAATAACTAGAATAATCAAAACGTTGAGTCCAGACACTCCCCAAGATAACGACCTCTTGAGCCAGTGACGGGGTGGGAGCACGTCTGTGGCCAATAATGCTCTGGCCACTGCTTGTCGGGCCACCGTTCACTGCCCTGCTCCGTCCCCGGTGGCCCTGCACCGTCACCTTGTGCTGCCACCGGGACCCCTGCGAATTGGCCCCCCCCCCGGTGCTCAGTGATTTCAGCTCTGGGGGGTGGGGGGGAAATCTCGCTGCTGGTGCGGGCGGGGGCGTCTGCTCCACAGAAACACCGTCCCACAGCGGGTCTCCGCACTTAGACCGGAGTATCTGCGATTTCAGCTTTAGCGGTCACGTCAACCGAAAGACGCTCAATGGAGCCTACTATCTGAAACAGGAGCAGGTCAAATAGCGCCCACCCCCCCCAGCAAAACACCCGTGGCCCCCCCCCGCGCTAGGATCTGGCATCCAAACCACCTGCTTAGCGGGTGACTGGGGCTTAATTCCTAAGGCAAGAGGTGCCGGGACTCACGCAAGTTTGTTACTTTCATAACGGAGGAGACAAGCCCGGAGACCCCAGGGCTACGCACGGCCGGGGGCTCAGCCCTGGCACGAAGGAAGCCCCGAGGGAGACCCCCGCATGCAGGCAGGCTAAGGACAGTTCTGCTGCCCTTTACTCGGACAGTCAGGAGAATAGGTCATGACCCCTCACATTTAATACTCGGGCGATTTGTAACCAATACCGGCCAAAATCGATCACGCCAACAGCTCAGCTCTGGCTGCCGGACGCCTCGGCGGAGCGGGTGCCTTCGTGTAAATACCGCCTGGCCCTGAAGCCTTTTCCACCCACCCCTGGCTCATCGCGAGCCGGCGGGGGAGAGCTGGCGCAGATCTGGCTCATAAATCCTCGGCTGAAATGAGCAGGCTGGCCAAGACAGCCCAACCGAATGGGCCGACGTTGTCGTACATCACGGCGGCGGGAGTCGGCGAGTCCTGGTTCAGACTTTTCCAGCCCCTTCTGCTTTCTCTCAGACACTGGTAGGCTCTCAAAGCGTGGATTCAGGTTTCAATTTCCATTCACATTTCCAACCCACAACTAAACTGGCAACACGGCATGTCACTGGGGGGAGGGGGAGGCGGGGGGTCTAGGGAAATCCCTGAGAGAGACCCCAACAGATACAGCCGGGCTCTGATCCTGCCCGAGCACTCGCTGCCCTGGCGGCAGGGGTGTGTGCTGAAATCAGAACCCAGCCCTACCCCCACTGCAGTCTGGTGTGAATCTGGATTGTCCCCTGGGGGCTGAGATCAGAACCCTGCCCTGCCCCCAATGCAAACAGGAGTGACTCCGGATTGTCCCCTGGGGGCTGAAATCAGAACCCATCCCTACCCCCAATGCAAACAGGCGCGACTCCAGATTGATCCCTGGGGCTGAGATCAGCATCTGACCCACCTACCTGATATACGGGAACATGACTGTGACATTCACAGACCCGTTGGCCACGGACATGGCGTATCTGTGGGGAACAGGGGTGTGTGTGTGACCAAGCTGGCCCCGAAGGGAAGGGGAGCAGGAGCTGAGGGCCTCAGAGTCACCCCATCAAACCCCCTCCTCAGCGTCCTCCCTCTGACCCATCCCCTAGAGGGGATAGGCCCCATACCCCATTCTTTACCCCCTGAGTCAGCCAGCCCCTACCCTGGGGCTGGATGGGAGCCAGCACCCCCCCCCCGAGGGGAAAGGGCCCATGCCCCGTTCTCCACCTAAGGCAGGCAGGGAGCCCCAGGCAGAATGGTGGGGGGCAGCTCATCTACCCCCCATACATGTTACTTACACCACCCAGAAGCCCACGGTGCCGCAGATGGCCAGCAGGATGGGGAGCAGGGCCCAGCCCCACATGGCAGAGACCTAAACAGGGGAAAGGGGGTGAGACACTGGTGAGGGAGGAGAGCCCCCACCCCCCATTCCTTCCCTCTCCAGAAGGCTGGGTTCTCTCCCCCCACCAAAGAGAGGCTGCAGCCTGGGGGAGCCCTTTAAAACACCCCCCACCCTAGCCCCCTCCCACTATTTAAAGGCACAGGATGCCTCTAATGTTCCTCCCCCACATGCAGGAGGGTCAGAGCTGCCCCATGCTGCTGCCCTGGGGAGGAAGGAGTGCTGGGGGTCTCAGAGACACCTGGCTGGGGTGTACTTAGGAGCAAGAAATATCTCTCCCCCGTCCCCCACCAGGATCTGGGCTGGAGGAGGCTCTATCCCAGCTCTGGGAGGGGAGTGGTGTCTAGGGGTTAGAGCAGCGGGGGCTGGGAGCCTGGGTTCCTTTCCTGCTGCGACCACTTCTGACCTCAGCTCCCCAGCGCAGTGCCTCAGTTTCCCTCACATGAGATCGGGCTGATACATACCTACCCCTCTGAGCCTCTGTCACAGAGACATCTCCTGAGCTGCCCGCCCGGCTTCTCTGCTCCCGTGTGTGGCTGGGGTCACAGGAGCCCTGTCACTTGGCATGGCCCCACCCCGGGGACAGAGAGCAGCCCTGGGAGCTGGCTGGGGCCAAAGTGCACGGTGTGGAGGGTTGTACCTGGGAGGGATTATCCATGGGGCAGCGGGGCAGGGCTCACCCCGACCCAACACAGAGGGGCTCTGCGCCCACAGCCAGCCTCCACCATCACATTGGGCAGGAGATTGTTGAATGCTCTTAAAATCACAGACTCAGGACTCCTGGGTTCTTTCCCCGGCTCTGAGAGGGGAGTGGCGTCTAGAGGAGGGGGGCTGGGAGCGAGGACTTCTTGGCCAGAATCCCCCCAGGGATTTGGCTCCCCCACCCAGGCCTGGAGCCAAATTAGAGGCGGCGCCCCCTAGTGGGGAAAGACCCCCGTGTCCCCCCCCACAGTCAGCCTGCCCCCAGCAGATCCCTCCCCCGACAGCCCCATCTGGGACTCACCAGCGGTTCGGGGTGGTCGGGGGTCACTCGACAGCAGGCTCCATCCCAGCCGAGCCCGGTCGGCTCCCCAGGGAGTCTGGGCCAGGGTGTGAGAGTCCTCTGACAGCTTGTTCCTGCTGACGTCCAGAGACCTTGGCCTGGCCATATCCGCTGCCTGGCCTGCAGGCGTCCCGGAGCCAGGAATGAGTTTATACGGGGACACTGAGGTGCGACCGCCTCTGGGGTGGGGCACAGGGGCTAGTTATCCGGGGACCCCCCTCGCCCGGCTTAACAGCTGCTCCCCACCCTAGACTGTCCTGTACCCGTCTCAGCGTGTGGCTCTGAGGAGTCTCCCTCCCCTGCACCCGGTTTGGTTCCCCTTCCCACCTCTGAAATCCCCTCGCTTGGATTTAATCGCTGGTGAAGGTTTACGTTTACCTAGGGCCTACCAGAACTCAAGGCCCGAGAGGGGCTTGCGCAATGCCGACCCGCTTGTCTTGTTTTGCGCCCGTTTCCTTTTCAGTTAAAGCTTGAGAAATATTCATGAAGTGTTTACTGTAGGGCCTACAAAAACGCAAGGCCTGTAGGTGCCCTGAGAGGGGCTGGTGATAAAGTTGCTTGGCCGTGGACCCAGGGGCCTCCTTTTCCATCTGCCTGTGTCTGTCTTTATTTACACCATGAGGAGTGGCCAACATGTTTACCAACTGTTTATTGTAGGGCCAACAGGAACTCTGTGCACTTGAGCGGGCTGTCAATAAAGTTTTGTTGAGACACCCCGCACTAGTAATTCACGTGGGCTACCTGGGTAACAATAGATGATTGGCAGCTGTTAGAGCCAATAAACAGAGGCTGTGGGCCAATCAGTGAGGAGTATGGGCGGGTTTGCGGCTGGGTGTGACAAAGCGTAGTGATTGCCAGATTGACTGTCCAATAGAATAAGAAGAACTAGGACCAATCAGAGAGGACACTGGAAGTAACGGGATGATCGACAAGGGGCATCGGCCAATGGAGTCTGGTAGAGGCCGCGAGGCGGTCCTTTCTCGGTGAGTGGGCGGGAAAGAGATTAGATTGATAGCTGTGCAAACCAATAGATCCCGGAGGTGCTAAGAAAGGGACCAATTGGTCTCCAGAGGGCAGGAACAGAAGATTGTCACCCGAGTAGTCCAATAGGAAGCGGCTGAGGAGCGGGGCGGGTGGTGGTTGCGCGCCAGGAAGCCAATGGGGAGAGAAGGAGCCGACGAAAGATTGACAGACACCTGGGCGCGCCCATGGAAAGAGCGAAAGCCAGGCGGGGCGGGTGAGGAAGGGCGGGACGAGCGGGTGACAAACACGGCGAACGCCCAACGGCCGCTGGCGGGTGGAGGCGCGGGCCGCGCGGGCGGGGGCGGGGCAAGCAGCGGCAGGCGCCCGGGCTGGCCCAATGGGAAGCGGCGGCGCCGGGTCGGGACCAATGGGCCGCGCGCGGGGGGCGGGGCGAAGGCCGCGAGGGCCCCGCCGGGGGGGGCGGCGAGAGAGAGGCCGAGGCGGCGGCGGCGGCGGCGGCTGGGGCAGGTGAGGCGCGAGCGGACGGGGGGGCGCGGGCGCGGGCGCGCGCGGGAGGGGGAGGGGCCATGGCGGTTCCTCCCCAACCGCCGGCCCCGCCCCCCCCCATTGTGCCCAACGCCCCCCCCCCCGGGCGCTGCTCCCCACACGCCGCGGGGCAGCGGGCGCGGCTCTGTCTGGGGTGGGGCCGCTGAACTCCCCCCCGGCCCGCAGAGGGGAAACTGAGGCACGGAGCCACGTGGCCGGGTGGGGCGAGAACCCAGGAGTCCTGGCGGCGGCGCCACGGAGTCCCCCGGGGTTTGTCCCCGCGCTGCCGGCTGCCCCGCGGATCGGGTCCCTTGGGGGGGGGCAGGACTCCTGGGTTCCCTTCCCGGCTCGGGGGGGGATGCTGGGAGCCAGGACTCCTGGGTTCCCTCCCCGGCTCGGGGCAGGGGGGGGATGCTGGGAGCCAGGACTCCTGGGTTCCCTTCCCGGCTCGGGGCAGGGGGGGGATGCTGGGAGCCAGGACTCCTGGGTTCCCTCCCTGGCTCGGGGTGGGGGGTGGGGATGCTGGGAGCCAGGACTCCTGGGTTCCCTCCCTGGCTCGGGGGGGGGGATGCTGGGAGCCAGGACTCCTGGGTTCCCTCCCCGGCTCGGGGGGGGGATGCTGGGAGCCAGGACTCCTGGGTTCCCTCCCCGGCTCGGGGGGGATGCTGGGAGCCAGGACTCCTGGGTTCCCTCCCCGGCTCGGGGGGGGGGATGCTGGGAGCCAGGACTCCTGGGTTCCCTCCCCGGCTCGGGGGGGATGCTGGGAGCCAGGACTCCTGGGTTCCCTCCCCGGCTCGGGGGCGGGGGCTGGGGATCCGGTAATGAGCCGCTGCATGTGGCCTGTGGGGGGTTCGCAGGCTGTTGTTTTTGTCACGTTCCTGGTCCCTGTTACCTGCTGACGGGACCCCCGGGGCCGGGGCTCTGCGAGTGGAGGGACGGAAGAGGGGGTGCGGGGCTGCGGGGTAGGGGTGCTCTCCCCTGCAGGGTCCCCCGTGCCCCACCCCAGAGGGGCCGCGGCCCAGCCCCAAATGCCCTACCTCTGCCAGACTCTGCCCGAATTGGGTGGGGCAGAGATGCTGAGGACCCGGGGGTGCTGCAGGGTCCCCCAGGGGTGGGGCTCCGGGGCTGCTCCTGTCTGGCCTGCTCACGCCCCTCTCCCCCCACGCGCGCAGCGGCCAGCAGCATGCGTCTGGCCGGACCATGGGCTCCACGCGGGTGACGGCGAAGGAGCTGTGCGAGAATGACGACCTGGCCACCAGCTTGGTGCTCGACTCCTACCTGGGCTTCAAGACCCACAAGATGAACGTCAGGTCAGGGCGGGGCTGTGGGTCGGGAGTGAGGGGCACCGGCAGAGCTGGGGGGGCCCAGGGCCGGGCTAGCAGGGGGCTGTGGGTCAGGAGTGAGGGGCACCGGCAGGGCTGGGGGGGCCCAGGGCCGGGTTAGCAGGGGGCTGTGGGTCAGGAGTGGGGGGCACCGGCAGGGCTGGGGGGAGCCCAGGGCCGGGTTAGCAGGGGGCTGTGGGTCAGGAGTGGGGGGCACCGGCAGGGATGGGGAGGGGCTCAGGGGTGGGGGTGGGGGGCCGTGGTCAGGACTCTGTAGCACCCCAGTTCTCTCCTTCCCCCCAGCCCGCTCCCCGCCATCCGGAGGCAGCACCACCTGCGAGAGGCGGTGGAGGCGTTTCGCCGGCGCCGGGACCTGGACGCCGCCTACCGCGCCCTCATGCTGGGCGAATGGGCCGGCCCGTACTTCAAGAGCCGCAGCCGCCAGCAGGAGACGGCGCTAAAAACCCACGTGAGTCCCAGGTCCTGTCCTGGCCCGGGCTGGGGCGTGGGGGCCAGTGATTAGAGGAGGGCAGTGGGGGCTGGGAGCCAGGACTCCTGGGTTCTCACCCCGGTTCATGGCTCCTCTCGAATCCTCTCTCCCCAGATATTCCGCTACCTCCGCATCTTTCTCCCGGAGAGCGGCTTCGTGATCTTGCCGTGCAGCCGCTACTCCCTGGAGACCAACGGGGCCCAGGTGGTGTCCACAAAGTCATGGTACGGGGTCCTCAGCTCACCCCACCCCTGTGGGTGAGGGGTCCCCGTATACCCAGCCCCAGCGCCCCACCCCAGAGCGGCCGCGGCCCAGAGCCGGGCAAGGGGTCCCCGTATACCCAGCCCCTCCCCCGAGGGCTCGTGTCCTGGCGAGGGGTCCCCGTGTACATAGCCCCCCGTGCCCCACCCCAGAGGGGCCACATCTCAGCACTGGGTGAGGGATCCCATATAACCAAGCCCCGCACTCCACCCCACAGTGACCACGTCCTGGTGACAGGTAAGGGGTCCCCATATAACCAGCCCCCTGCCCCACCCCAGAGCGGCCGTGTCCCAGCACCATGTGAGGGGTCCCCGTATAACCAGCCCCCCCGCCCCACCCAAGAGCGACCATGTCCTGGTGCCAGGGAAGGGGTCCCCGTGTAACCAGCCCTCCCACCCCACCGCGCCCCACCACACCCCACCCCAGAGAGGCCATGTCCCAGTACCAGGTGAGCGGTCCCCGTATAACCAGTCCCCTGCCCTGCCCTAGAGCGACCGTGTCCTGGTACCAGGGGAGGGGTTCCCGTATAATAGTCGCCCGCCCCACCCCAGAGCCGCTGTGTTTCAGTGCCGGGTGAGGGGTTCCAGTTTAACCAGCCCCGGTGCCCCACCCCCGAGAGGTCCCCATCTGAGCAGCCCCAGCACCCCACCCCAGAGCGCCCGGGGTGGGGGCTGGACAGGCCCCCCGACTCATCCCCCAACGCCCGGCAGGAGGAAGAACGACAAGCTGGAGCTGCTCGTGGGCTGCATCGCGGAGCTGACGGAGCCGGACGAGAGCCTGCTGCGGGCCGGGGAGAACGACTTCAGCATCATGTACTCCACGCGCAAGCAATGCGCCCAGCTCTGGCTGGGCCCCGCCGCCTTCATCAACCACGGTGCGGGGGGCTCCTCCCCCAGCCCGGCCGGGCCCCGCCCGCTCCCAACCCGGCTAGCCCAATCCTGGGCTCCCCCAGCTCTGCCGGTGCCCCTCACTCCCGCTCTGCAGGCCCCTGCTAGCCCAGCCCTGAGCTCCCCCAAGGCCTGCTGATGCCCGTCACTGCCGACCCCGAGCCCCGTGTTCTCTTTGAGATCTGCACAGACCCAAGCCTCCCTCTGCCTGCGCAGCAGGGTTCTGTCTGGGGGGCAGCAGTGGGATCTGTCTCCCTGGCCCCCCCACCCCTTGGTCTCGGTGCTGTGAGGGTCATAGAGCACCAGCTCTGACACTGGCAGGGGTGAGTCTGTTCTCCACCGTCAGACCTCGGCCAGGGCTGGATGGGCGCTGGTGCCCCCTAGAGGGGCAGGATGTGTACCACGCCTTCGTTCTTCGGCCACTCTCTCAGCAGCAGCCTGTGGTTCGCTTACCCCGAGGGTCCCCGGGGCCGTGTGGGGATCTGCTCTGAGCCTGGGGGAGTCGTAGGCGTCTGACCCTGTTCTCTGGCTTGTCTCTCTTGTGTCTCCTGCTATCCCACTGCGGAACCTGCCAGACTGCAGGCCGAACTGCAAGGTAAGGGAGCTTGGGGTCTGTCCTGGCTCCGGGAGGGGAGTGGGGTCTAGTGGTTAGAGCAGGTGGGGGCTGGGAGCCAGGACTCCTGGGTTGTATCTCCAGCTCTAAGAGGGTTCTAGTGGTTGGGGGGGGAGCCAGGACTCCTGGGTTCTCCCCCACTGAATGTGAGACCCTGGGGAGGGGAGGTGCAAGGAGCAGTGCCCCCCCCATCTGTAAATTGGGGCTTAGGGTTGATTAGCCATGGGCTTTGAGACCCCTGCTGCGATCAGCTGGGGGGCATTGGGGAGAGATCAGCCTTGCTGTGGGGGCTTGGATGGAGCTGACGTGTGCAGTGGACTCCTCATGGCCAGGGAGGGACAGCCCCCCTCCCCCCCAATCCTGTGGGAGTGTCTGCGCCCTGTCCCCCCGTGGGGCCCTGGCTGATGCCCCCTGTCCCCCCAGTTTGTCCCAACGGAGGGGAACACGGCCTGCGTCAAGGTACTCAGGGACATTGAGCCGGAGGACGAGATCACCTGCTTCTATGGCGACGGCTTCTTCGGGGAGAACAACGAGCTGTGCGAATGCCGCACCTGTGAGAGGTGGGGGGGCTGGGGAGAGGGGCTGGCTGAAGGGGGAGGGGGGCTGGGAGCCAGGACTCCTGGGTTCTGTCCTGGCTCTGGGAGGGGACTGAGGTCAATTGGGTAAAGTGTGTGTGTGGGGGGGGGGGGCTGGGACCAGGACTCCTGGGTTCTCTCCCCAGCTCTGGGAGGGGAGTGGGGCCGAGTGGGTAGAGCGGGGGGCAGGGAGCCAGGACTCCTGGGTTCCAGTCTGCAAGGTCTCTGTTCCCTCAGGAAGGGGGAAGGTGCCTTCCGGCTGCGGAAGAAGGACCCCTCGCAATCTACCTCAGCCCAGAAGAAATACCTGCTCCGGGAGACGGACGGGCGGCTGCAGCGCTGGAAGGGGCGGGGCTCCAAGCAGGCGCAGCCCCAGAGCATGCGGCGGCGGCGTAGGGCCCGGCGCAGGAGGGAGCATGGCTGCGGTAGGAGCCCCGGCCTGGGGGAGCTCACAGGGAATGGCGGGCGGGGGGGGGGGTCCCCGTATACCCAGCGCCAGGCGAGGGGTCCCCATATACCCAGCCCCTGTGCCCCACCCCAGAGGGGCCGCGTCCCGGCGCCTTTGACATCCGTTTCTCTGTCCTCTTACAGCTTCCCAGCGCCGAGCCCCGTGCCGCGGACCGGCCTCCTCTCTCGCGGCTCTGGGCGCCAGCCCGGTGAAGGACCTGCGGATCTCCCTGCACGACTGCGTGGCCTGCCAGGCCACGGGGGGAGCCGGCTGCCGGCTGCGGAAGCCGCTCTGGGTCACCCTGCCATGGTGGGGCCCCAGGGCCCGGCAGCCTGGCCCTGCACCAGCCGGCACCATCGTCCTCCGTCGCTCCCTGCGCAGATGCTGCCGGGCGCAGCGGGACGACAGCTGCTGCACGGCCGCCGGCCTGGGTGTCCCGCGGCCCACGCCACCTGGCCCGACCCACGCGGAGCTGGGGGGCAGGCTGCCCAGGGGGCTGGCCGGGCAGGGCTCTGGGGCGGCATCCCCCCTGGCTTGGGAGCTGCACGGGTTCAGAACTGCTGGCAGGAGCTGCCCCAGACGGGGCTTGGAGGAGACTCGCCCATGCACAAGGCCCTCTGGTGGAGTTCTGCAGCTCCGGGCCGGGGTCACTGGGCCCCCTAGTGGAGCCCTGAAGCTGTGCGCTAGGGACACACAGCTCCGCCCCGGGGACTCGGGGCCCCCTGGTGGAGCTCTGGAGCTCTGCCCCGGGGACTCGGGGCCCCCTGGTGGAGCTCTGGAGCTCTGCCCCGGGGACTCGGGGCCCCCTGGTGGAGCTCTGGAGCTCTGTCCCGGGGACTCGGGGCCCCCTGGTGGAGCTCTGGAGCTCTGCCCCGGGGACTCGGGGCCCCCTGGTGGAGCTCTGGAGCTCTGCCCCGGGGACTCGGGGCCCCCTGGTGGAGCTCTGGAGCTCTGCCCCGGGGACTCGGGGCCCCCTGGTGGAGCTCTGGAGCTCTGCCCCGGGGACTCGGGGCCCCCTGGTGGAGCTCTGGAGCTCTGCCCCGGGGACTCGGGGCCCCCTTCTGGGGACACGCGGCTCCGTGCCGGGGACTCGGGGGCCCCCGATGGAGCCCTGGAGCACCGCACCAGGGACACCCAGCTTTGCCCCCCTGCTCCTCAGCCCCCCAGCCAGCTGGTCTGTCTGACCAGGAGTATGGCCCGGCAGCAGGCCAAGGCCATGCCTCCTGCCAGGCCCCACCCCCCCCAGCCCGAGCCGCCGGCGGCCGGCCAGCAAGGCCCCCCCGGGCAGAGACGACCCCAAGCTCTCCCTCTACGCCCATGTCCGCCTGGAGACAGTGAGGCCGCGCTGGCCGGAGCAGGAGGAGCCCAAACGGACAGTGACCTTTCACCCCTTCACCCCCCCGAAACGCCTGCGGCTGGTGGTGAGCCACGGCTCGATCGACCTCGACGTGGCCTCCAGCGAGGAGTTGGCCTGAGGCTCAGGGACCGGGAGGGGCCCAGCTCCCTCCTCACCTGGCTGACCCACCCCCCTCCCCCCAGCCCAGGAGCCGGAGCCCCTCCTGGAGCAAGAGGCTCTAGCCCAGCGGGGGTCTGGGTCTCTGAAGCACATGCCCCCCTCCCCCCAGGGATTGCACTGAGCCACCCCCCTACCCCATTGGACAGAGCTTTTCCGGACCCCCTCCCACGCCAGGGTGCCTGGGGTGCTGGTGGTTTGTTGGTGACTTCTGGCGTCTGGTTCAAGCGGGACCCTTTGGGGTTGTTTATAGTCAGTTTGGCAGGAGGCCCCAGCCCCGATGAGGGGAGTGGGTGCAAACAGGCTGCTGGGACATGGGGCCTTTCCCCTCTCGGGGGCCCTGGCCCGGATCCGGCCCCCATGCGGGGACTGGCTGGCTCAGGGGCAGGGAATGGGGCATGGGGCCTTTCCCCTCTAGGGGGTGCCTGCCCCAGAGTGGGGACTGGCTGGCTCGGGGGACAGGCAATGGGGCCTTTGAGGGGGCGCCGGCTTTGATCCCACCCCAGAGTGGGAACTGTCTGGAAAGCGGGGTGCTGGGCATCAGGATGGAGGGCACTGGTCCCCCCCACCCGTCTGCTCCCCAGATTGTGGGCACATGTCTGCCCTGTCCTGCCACCGGCCGTGTACAACACCCAGCCCTTGGCTAAGGCTTTCAGTGGGGCCTGGGCCAGATACCCCGGCGGGGGGCACTAGCCCACCGCCTGGCATCCTGCACAGGGAGATGCCCGGCAGCCGGTTATGAAACCAGCCTGGGTAGCAGCTCGTGCCAACTCAGCCTTGCACCCTACAGCTGGGGGGGCTGCACATGGGGCCCCTGTCTCCCCGGCATCCTTAACCCTTTGCAGGCCAGCCCCCTGGTGGGGGCCCAGAGGGGCGTTCAGATGCTGCCCTGGCCCAGGACGCCTGGGTTCCCACCTGGGCCAAACAGGCTGTACAGGATGGTGAGTTCGTTAGTCATTAGGGGCTCGGGTTGATCCCCCAGTTCTCACCTCAGAGACATCCCTTGCGTTTAGATTGGAAGGGCCAGATTTCCCCCACCCCCGGTGTCGGTGGGCTGTAGCTCCATTGGACTCATGGGGGCCAGCCACCCAGCAGGGCCTACGGCTGACCCCCAAGGGAGCAAAGGCTGATTAACCCCAGTGGGGGCTGTGGCTGTCCCTCCCCCCCCCCCAATCTCTGGTGCTAGTTCGGTGTGTTTTCTCCCTCAGATCCCCAGCTGCTGGAGTCAGGGGGTGAGGGGAGAATTGTGGTGTTTGATTAAAAAAAAAAAAAAAAAACTTTCCTAGGTGGGGTGGGGGGGAAGCCCCCCAGAAAAAGGGGCCTGGCCTGACTACATTGAAAGCTCCTGGGAGTTTTTGTGATCACATCAATTTTGGTCCCTGAGGCCCAGCTGGTGGATTTTGATCCCTGGGGGCTGATCGGGGTGGGGCCCAAAGGGCTTTATTTCTAACAAGCCCTGGCTGGCGGCCCCCGGCCCCCTTGATTCCTGGAACTTGGTGTTCCTTGCCCCCTTACTGGCTTGGGAGGTGGGGGAGTGACCTCAGGCTGGTTAAAGGGAGCATCTGAACGCCCCACCTGAGTTGCTGCATGACGTAGTGTTTAGGGTTCTCCATAGTGGGGGGCTGGGTCCAAAGGATAGTGGGGACAGTAGGAGCGGGGAGCCAGGACTCCTGGGTTTGGTCCCCAGCTGTGGGAGGGGAGCAGGGTCTAGTGATGGGGGCGCGGGAGGGCTGAGAACCAGGACTCCTGGTTTCTGTCCTCAGCTGTGAGAGGGGAGTGGGGTTTAGTGATTGGGGGGGTGGCGGCTAGGAGTCAGGACTCTGGTTCTGTCCCCAGCTGCGGGAGGGGAGTGAGGGGAAAGGGGGGGGGGCGGGTGGCAGGACTCCTGGGTCGCAACCCCAGCTGCACCTTGGCCTGGGCCCAGTCACGTCACCTCTGTGCCTCAGTTTCCCCATCTGAAAAATGGGTTTCACACTTACCTACCTCACTGGGAGAGGGAGGAGGCGAAGCCATTTCTGAAGCGTCCAAGAAACAGCTCTTCCCCTGACAGGGTGCAGCGCCCCCTTTCCCTGCCCCCTACCCCTCCATGGGGCCTGCAGACCCTGGGCTTTGCAGGCAGGGTGGGGGGAACCTCCTGTTCCAGCCCAGCTGACCTGAAACTCCCACGCGGCGTGTGTTGGTGATAGATTTCACCCCACCCCGATTCAGCCGCCCCTGCTCCCCACAGCCCCCTCAGGGCTTACGGTCGGTCCTGCCAAGGCAGAGGGTGGCCGGATGCCTGGGTTCTTCCGGGCGGGGGGAGGGTGCGAACACTGTTACACCTGCTGAACTGTGTATCACCTGGGGGGGCTCTGCACTGGAAGAGGGGATGGGACTGGAAAAGTGGGGTGACTCGTTTGCACCCCTGTGGGCTAGCCCTACAGCTGATCCCAGGATGGGGGGGGTGGATTGGTGCTAGGGGCACAAGGTGCAAAGCTGGGGGTGGGAGACCCCCATCGGGGAATGTGCCCAGCTCTGGGGGAGGGTGGGGACCCAGGGGGTTCTCAGCCCCCCTCCGGGGGTGGAGCTCAGCTGGGTGTGTTTGTGTCAGGTTTTTGGAGGGGGAGGCAGGGGGAGAGAAATTCCCCTTTTAAAAACAAGTAGGGAAAAAAACATGGTTGGAATAAAGATTTTTCTAAAAGAGATTGTGTCTGTACGTCTGTCCCGAGAGCTGGTGGGGTCGGTCGGGGGAGCTGGGAGCCAGGACGCCTGGGTTCTATCGGGGAGGGGAGTGGGATCTAGTGGTTAGAGCATGGAGGGACCACAGAGCTCCCAGCTCCAGCAGGGGGCGCTCTCCACTGGCAGTTGGGGCTGCCCCATGCCCCAGGGCGATGCCAGGGGGTGCTGGGCTGTAGGGGGCTCACACTGCTTGGAGGGCTCCAGGTTTTGGCTACGTGACCCTTCCCTGTGACACCCTCCTCCCCCCCGCCACCCAAAGAGGGACATGGGGGGCAGTGCAGAGGTTTGAAGCCAACCCCTGGTGCCCAGCCCCCTTGGGCCTGTCCCCACCCCTGGGGGCAGGGACCCATGGGGCCATCCCAGCCTGAGGTGCAGCCCCTCCCATCCAGCCCGGGTGCAGCCACCACCAGCCGCCTCAGTCTGGACCTGTGCAAGCCGGGGCTGGATCTTCCTGCTGCCAGGTGTGGCCCGGTGGGCAATGGCGGGTGGGTGGGAAGCCCTGGAGGGAGAGTGCCTGGGGGCGGGGGAGAGACGGGGCAGTGGGAACCATCGTGCCCCCTCTGGGTCCCCAGGAATGGGCACTAAGCTGGGGCAAATTGGGGTGGGGGGTCATAAGGCGGGAATGAAAAAGTGGGAGTGGGGCAGACTGCTGTAACCACTAGACCCCACTCCCCCAAGCCAGGGAGAGAACCCAGGACTCCTGACTCCCAGCCCCCCTGCTCTAACCACTAGACCCCACTCCCTTCCCAGAGCTGGGGATAGAACCCAGGAGTCCTGGTCCCAGCCCTCCCTGGTCTAACCACTAGTCATCACTCCCCACCCAGAGCCAGGGAGAGAACCCAGGAGTCCTGGTCCCAGCCCCTATGATCGACCCCCAGGACCATTTTCCTGCCCTAGGTGGGATGGTCGGGGCCTATTTCTGACCAGACTCTTATACTAGCTGGAAGGCACAAGACAGGGAGAGACTAGCCTGGCTTGGAGCCTGGACTCCTGGGTTCCCCCTCCGGCTCTGGGAGGGGAGTGGGGTCTGGTGGGTAGAGCGGGGGGCCGGGAGCCAGGACTCCTGGGTTCTCTCCCCGGCTCTGGGAGGGGAGTGGGGTCTGGTGGGTAGAGCAGGGGGTCTGGGAGCCAGGACTCCGGGGTTCTCTCCCTGGCTCTGGGAGGGGAGTGGGGTCTGGTGGGTAGAGCAGGGGGGCTGGGAGCCAGGACTCCGGGGTTCTCTCCCTGGCTCTGGGAGGGGAGTGGGCTCTAGTGGTGGGAGCAGTGGGGCTGGGACTCACCCATCCCCTGTCAGGGTCACATGGGCCCCCAGTGATTGTCCTGGCCCCAAGGAGGAATTTTTAGTATGTGCTTTTCCTGGGCTTTGATCAGAAAAGGAAGCGGAAATTGTCCCCTCGGCCTTGACCTCCAGCACCTGCACTAAACCCAGGGTGGGGCTAGCAGGGGGCTGTGGGTGGGGAGCGAGGGGCACCGGCAGGGCTGGGTGGAGCCCAGGGTGGGGAGTGAGGGCTACCGGCAGGACTGAGATGGGGGGATGCTGGAGTACGGGCAGCTCAGATGGGACCCTGGGAACAGTAGGACTCGGGCCTGGAAGACCCCTCCTCTGCTCCTCCCCCGTTTCACCCACCCCCTCTCTCCCCAGGCTGGAACCTCCTTCCCTCACCTTGGCCATGACTGCCCTGGTCTCCTGGGTCCCCTTCCGGTCGCCCCTCCAGCTCTCCGTCTTCCTGCTGGCCATCTTGACCCTCTCCATCTTCCTCAACTTGAGGGGCTGGTTCCCTGCCCAAGGACAGAGACTGCCCTCCTCCAATGCCATGGGGTGGCCCCCAGCCATGTCACCCATCCTGCCCCCCACCACACCCCCTGCCACGGAGCGGGGCATGTGGACCGTGAACTCCCTCGGGCGGCTGGGGAACCAGATGGGGGAATACGCCACCCTCTACGCCCTGGCCAAGATGAACGGGCACCAGGCCTACATCCTCCCGGAGATGCACCAACATCTGGCACCGGTCTTCCGCATCACCCTGCCCGTGATCTCCAGCAACATGGTCCGGAGCATCCCGTGGAGGAATTACGCGCTACACAATTGGATGTCGGAGGAGTACAGGCACATCGAGGGGAAATACGTCCGGCTGACGGGCTACCCCTGGTCCTGGACCTTCTACCACCACCTCCGGCAGGAGATCCTCCAGGAATTCTCCTTCCACGACCACGTCAAGGAGGAGGCCAACCGGTACCTGGCCGGGCTGCGTGGGCAGCGCCGGAACGTGACCTACGTGGGTGTCCACGTCCGGAGGGGGGACTACGTCCGGGTGATGGCCGAGCGCTGGAAGGGGGTGGTGGCGGACAAGGCCTACCTGGAGAAGGCCATGGGCTACTTCCGGGCCAAGTACCAGGAGCCGGTCTTCGTGGTGACCAGCAACGGGATGGAGTGGTGCCGGGAGAACATCGACACCTCCCGGGGAGACGTGTATTTCTCGGGGGACGGGAAGGAGTCGTCGCCGGGGGGGGATTTCGCTCTCTTGGTCCATTGCAACCATACGATCATGACCATCGGGAGCTTCGGCATTTGGGCCAGCTACCTGGCTGGGGGGGAGACCATCTACTTGGCCAACTACATGCTCCCCAATTCCCCCTCCCTGCGATCCTTCAAGCCTGCGGCCGTCTTCCTCCCTGACTGGATCGGGATTAACGCTGATCTCTCTCCGCTGCTGAATGGGACAGAGCGGCAGAAAGGAGCCCGCCCACAGGCTACCAACAGGACCCGCAGGGATAGCGGGCCAGCCACCAGCCAGGGAAGAGGGCGCTGGAGAGTTCAGAGTGCATCAGAGCAGATGTTGGTCAGGCACAGGGTGGGGTCAAGACAACCTGGCTCCCTTCTGCCAACTTTGTCCTAGGATTCCTCAGAAGGGGCCATCTTGTTCCTAGGTTGAACTGTTAGAACAGGGGAGCTGTGAGTCAGGATTAGAAGTGAAGTGAAGTAAAGCCAGGAAGTGAAGCCAGCTATAAAAATAATAAATAACAAATGGAAGAAAGGGGCAGTGGATAGTAATATATATAAATCAGAAACTAGGGATTGTAGAAAATTGATAAGGGAAGCAAAGGGACACAAGGAGACATCTATGGCAAGCAGAGTTAAAGCCCATACTGTGTTTTTTTTTTAATGTATATTAGTAACAAAAAAGGATCCTGAGAATGATATCGATCCCTTTTAGATGGAAATGGTAGAATTTTCAACACTGCAGACAAGGTAGAATTTTTCAATAAATATTTCTGTTCTGTGTCTGGGAAAAAAACAGATGATGTTGTCATAGCATATGACAATGCGAACACACTTTCCATTCCACTAGTAGCTCAGCTGGATGTTAAACAGCAGCTACAAAAGTGAGTGATTTTAACATCAGCAGGTCATGGTAATATGCATGGAAGAGTTTGAAAAGAGCTGGCTGAGGAACTGACGGCACTGTTTATGTTGATTTTGCCCTGCAGCAGGTCCAGAATTAAACTAGAGTGCCAATTTTTAAAAAGGGTAAATGGGATGACCCAAATAATTATGGGCCGGTCAGCCTGACCTCGATCCCAGGGAAGATAATGGGGCGGCTGATGCGGGACTCGATTAATAAAGCATGAAAGGAGGGTGCCTCATTCATTATCTTGGGATTATGGAAGCTAGACCCTGTCATACTCACCTGCTAGGCTCTTTCACTGTGATTGCATGTTCGGTTGAGGAAAGTCACAGGGTTGGTGTCAGGCAAGGCGCGGGAGCTGGTGACTGATTAACAAGAACACTAGGAAATGAGCGCGGCCCTCGTTAAATGGAGTCACATCCGCCCAGCTGACGGGTCTCATAATGTACCTGTACATGGAGACACGCCATCGAGCGCGGATGGGGGGGTGGTTTCCAGGGGCGGATCCCGCAGGGGTCGGTTCTTGACCCTGAGCTAGTTAATGTCAATGACGTGGAAGAAAGCCTCACAGATCAAGTTTGCAGAGGCCACCAAACCAGGAGGAGGGGCCCCCAGCGGGGCTGGATCGGCCATCGCTCAGCAGCTGGATCGAGTGTTTAGAGCCGGTGTCCCTTCCCCTGGCCTCCCCTGCCCCAGCGCGGGGCCCACGGCAGCCACAGAGCCCGGGTGTTACAGACGGCAGGCAGGGCGGGGCTGCGGGGGGAGGCTCTCCTTCCAGCCCGGCTGGCCCAAACCTCCCATGTGGCTTGTATTGGGGATGGACAGAGAGATCCCCCCACTCTTCCCCCCCACCAGATTAAGCCACCCCCGCTCCCCACAAGCCCTTGGGGCTCAAGGCTGGCTCTGCCACGGCAGAGGGCGGCCGGACGCATGGGTTCTTCCAGGGTGGGAAGAGGGTGCTAATAGGTCACAGCTGCTAAACTGTGTATCAATCCCGTGGAGGGTAAATTTCCCCCAGGGTTGGGCTCCACCCGCCCCCCATTCCTGCTGACCCAAGAGCAAGAGGGGTCTAGTGATTACAGTGGGTAAGGGGAGCCAGGACTCCTGGGTTCTTTCCTTGGTGGACAGGGAAGGGCGGTATTCAGTGGGGCACTCCCTGGCTAGGGCTGGGCTAGATCCATAGGGCAGGGAACTCTGGGCAGAAGGATTGGCCCAAGGAGCGGGGGGTGAGGGCGGAGCGGGGCCTTGTCATTCCAATTTTATTGTTGCTTGTAAAAGCCCATCATTTGCCCAGCAGTTCTGCCTTTACAGCCCTGTGCCACATACACACTGGGGCTGGTTTATATCCCAGGTATGTGCCCGCCCACAAAGCCCTGCTGAACCTGCCCTACTCAGCAGGGGATAGAACCCAGGAGTCCTGGCGCCCAGCCCTCCCTGCTTTTTTCAAAGGGTTAGTTTCATCAAGCTGAAAAGAATTAGGAACCGAAGCAGCCTGGAGGAAGAATTTAATCAGACCCATGTGGCTACTGATTGGGGATTGTTTACCAAACACCTGAC